GGCCAGGCAAAGCTGAGCCAGCAAAGCTGCTGCTTCCTCCTCCCTTCCTGCTAACAGCCCAAGAGGTGGGGCTGGGCTGGGCTGATACAGCCCAGCCCCAAATGCACAAAAAATTAACCCTAGGGAACACAAGTTTTCTAAGGCACTCTAAAAAAGAGTGCAGTCATCTGATACCTCATTTGAGGAGGGTTAATTTTTTGTGCAATCGGCCACTTTAAAAGAATTCTGCAGTCAAGCACGTGTGTCAAGGTGCAGCTATAAAGTACTTTTAGGGGCCTTATTGCATGAAAAATTTAACTTCCGCCTGCATCCCAGGTGATCAGGTATTTGCCTGAGATGCAGGAGAATCAGGTTCAGATCCATGCCCTGAATTAGCAGATTGCATAGAACTGTCACATCTCAGGGGTCAGTGATTTGACTGTCAGGATATTGCCTGTGCTGTAATGAGGCCACTCTCTGGTTTTATGAGAAATTGGTTTTATAAGCTGAACTGGTAGATTTTTTAGTGAAACCAATACCTTCCCACAAACATTTCAGTTCTGGGAATTCAGTATTTTGGAGCAGTGGGGAAGAAGAGAGAACGATTTTGTTGGGAAAATCCTGATCACCTCTTGAGCTTACCTGGGCCAGTTACTAGAGAGGCTCCTTTTTTCTGGATCAAAATACTTCCACTGGTTTCTGCCAACCTTCAGAACAGTTGGGGGGGGGGGAACAACAGTGAATAAATGGCTAAAATACCAATTATTCCTCTATTTATCACTTAATTGTTTAAAAGAATCAATATAGACAAAACATTATGAAAAGGAATATCTACTTAAATTATTATTTGAAATTTTACATCACATTAAAGCTGCAACAAAAGATTTGCTTTAAGCGCATTGAAAAGACTTTTCTCAGGTAGCTGCTTTTTGGGTTGGTATTTCTGCTCTGTCACAGGATGTTCCTTGATTGCTGAAACTATTTAAGCTATGGCCACAGGTCTGATGCAGGCTGCTCCCAGTTCTCTCCCATAATCCACTTTAAACTGAAATTTTGAAGTACTCCAGACAGTGGCTATTGGTGAGAAACAGATAGAGAACTGCAATTTGTAAGTAAAGAACATGTCTCACAAGAACACAATATTCACTTTAATAACACACTTTTAAATTAACTCTTACTTAAAAAATGGGCTGTGATCAAAATACAATAGCTGGAGCTACAATTCTGCATACATAGTCATTTGTGGGTAGAAATACTGTAGGTGCTATTAAAATCTTGATAGTTTACTACAAGGTTTTTTAACCTTTTTTAACAACTGTACCCCTTCTCTGCCAAAGTTCCAGCTCAGGTACCCCTTTACATTTTTTTTCTTGTTTTTAAGGCGGTGGGGGGAGGAAGCGAGTGGGGCTGGAGCTTCGCAGCCAGGGCAGAAACTGGGACAGAGCCACCAGCGGCTCAAATCAGGGGGCACGGGAAGGTGGTGGCAGTTCCTGCTGGTGCATGCACCCCAGGAGGGCATGGAGCAAGGGCGAGCTGGCCCTGCAGTGGGGGAGGGAGTAGGGCTGGGGCAGGGACTGTGCGCACCCCTGGGAGGGCACAAGGACATGTGCCCCCTGATCTCGGTAGGGGAGGGAGGGCTGCCGCTGTGGACTGGGGCCAGTGCCAAGCTGTTCCCAGTGGGGGCTGGGCTGGGCTGCACTGAAGTTGGGGCAGGCAGTGGCAGTGCTGGGAGGGGGCTATGGGAGGGCTGCAGCAAATTCTGGAGTGGCTACAGCCCCCCCCAACCCTGTAGCCCCTTCCCAGCACTGCTGCTGCTGCCCACCCCGAATGCAGCCCAGCTCAGCCCCCGCCTGGAAGAGCCCAGTGCAGCTCTAGCCCCAGCCTGCAGTGTCATCCCACCCCATGCACAGATCTGGCGGCACACCCCCCGTGCCCTCCCAGGGTGCGCACAGTGGTGGGAGCCACCACCACCCTTCCTCTGCTCCCCAGACGAGCCGCAGCTCTGTCACATGCTCCGCCCCAGGCTCCTGCAGCTGCACGCACTCCTGGAAGGGCACGAGGGTGTGTCCCTGGATCTGTGCAGGGCAGGGTGGGGCTAGGGCCAGCACCAGCGCCAGTGCCAGGCTGTTCCCAGCTGCGCTAGGGGTGGGCGGCAGCAGTGCTGGCAGGGGGGCTATAGGGGGGATACGGCGAATTTGGGGGTGGCTGCAGCCCTTCCCATAGCCCCCTACCAGTGCCATCAGCGCCCACCCAGAGCACAGCCCAGCCCAACCCCTGCTGGGAAGAGTTCAGCCCACAGCAGCATCCCGCCCTGCCCTGTGCAGACCTGGGGGCACACACCCCTCCATGCCCTTTCATGGGGTGGGCAGCGGCAGGAGACACTCCCCGCGTGGCTCAGTCTGACACCCTACCCTGGCTGGGCAGCCCCTGCCCCAGCCCCAGCCCTACTCTCTCCCCCACCACTAGGACCTCAATCTGCACCCTCCCCTGGCCCCTTCCCTCACAACATACTTACCAGCCAGACCTAGCTGCTTTCCTGGCTGCCTGTGCGCTGAGCTGCAGCTGTGCGCATGCACACAGCATTTAAATCGGCCACATTAGGTGCAAGTACCTCCTAGGACCTTTTTACGTACCCCTAGGGATACACATACCCCCAACTGACAACCAATGGTTTACTGCATTCCAGGATTTACTTTTACAGCTGCATTTGCCTATTCCTCTGTTATGAATGGGAAGCAGGATAAATACTTTAGGTATTGTAACTGTGAAAGCAGTTTGGTAGTATTTAACAGTGCCAACTGAACTTGCATTTCAAGGTGTAACTACTGAGGATTCAAATGGTGCAACTGCCTTTGCTAATCAAATCATTAGCTATTGAAATGTTACCATTTGTGTGAATAAATAGCTGTACACACAAAACTGTGGGCAAAAACCTAAAAGCTGTTAACATTTGGCTGATAAAGCCAATAAGAATTAACTCATTCAAATAGTGAACAGCATAGGCTACTGCAACTCATAATCCACTACCAACAGCCCTCGGGGACTTTGAGCTAAGGGACACAACTTGGCACACCCAGCACTAACGATTGAGAGAGAAGGAGGAGCTACTATCATAGGGCACTTACAGAAGTTACATTTTTTGCATGAGGCGGCCCCTGAGCACTATACAGTCATAATGTAACACATGTTCATGACTGCAGAACACTTTTAAAATAGCCAATTGCATGAAAATTTAACCCTCATTTGATGCATTATCAGATAGGGCACTCTAAGGCAGAGTGCCTTAGGGATCCTGTATACAGGTTCTCTGTGCAGGTTAATTTTGAGCTATTCCACCTACATCCCATGCCACATCCCAGACAGTCTTCTCCCTGTGCAGCGGGAGGAGGAGAGGCGGGAGAAGG